ACTTTGAAAGTGAGGAACAACAAACAAGAAATAGGATAGACGAAGCCAAGCATCCAAATTTCCAGACTGTTATGGATAAATGGGAGCTATTAAAAGAAACCATAGAAAAAGAAATCCAAGAAAGAAGTGAAGCATACAGACCAACACTTTCTCAAAAATATACTGAGGAGGGGTACAAAGGCTCAGCGGAAGAGGCTTGGAACCGGCGATATGCAAATCGTGATGAAGATGAAGTTGATAAAGAACTGAGTGAAAAAGAGGAACAAATGAGCACTGAAGCCCCACTAATGGAACAGTTGAAGTTTAATCCAGGGCAAGATGGTCAGAAAGAAGCACTGAAGAAACAAAAGGGATGGTACAGACAAAAGTACCAAGATAAGAAGCAACCTGTTGTACCGGTTCCAAAACTAACGCCACAGAAGCGCTCATTAATGCAAGAACTAGAAAAGCAAGCTAGCCTGGGTGAAACACCAGTAGAAGCAAGGAAAAAAATTAAGTTACCCGCTTTGGTGACAGAACAATAGGAGAAGGTGCAAACACAGCCTCATCCTGGAGGGGATACTAACGATGGTATGAGCAACTCACAAAAAGAAGTGGATGGCGGTGAGGCGGACTCTGCTAGAGACCAGAGTCGCCGAGCCCAATGGGGAGTCCCTTGGTAGTTAAGAAGTTGGGGAGGCTACTCCAACGAGAAAACCCCTCTTTGGTTTTCATCATGAAAACGAAAAAGCAAGAAAAAGAATGGGAACAAGTGATGAAAGATGTAGGATGGGAAAATGGAAAAGGTGTGGGATCAGTGAGACGTGCTGGAGGATTATTGGTGCTGTGGAAGAACAATTTGCAAGTTGAGATCATGTCCCTAGAGCAGAACTATATTGATTTGAAGGTCACAGAGATTGAACTAATGTGGCGACCAGCTCTTAGGCTGCTGATGGGCAAAACACTGGAGATACTGCTCCAGATGTTTGTTGACGATCTCCGTCTGTCCGTCTGTCTGCGGGTGATAGATCGAGGAAATTCCTGATGTCGCACAACCCCCGTCACAAACTGCTCAGCCACGACCTTTGCTGTGTCCGAATGCGCCAAGGGCATGAAGTGAGCATACTTCGTCAGACGATCTACCACCACGAACAACACAGTCTTACCGCCCGAGGGAGGAAGTCCCACTATAAAATCCATACTGATGTCCTCCCAAACCCTCTCTGGTACCGGTAGGGGCTGCAATAGTCGTGTGGGCCGCAGATGGGACAGCTTCACCCTCTGGAAGGTGTCACAGGACGCCACATAATGCTTTACATCATCTGCCATGCGAGGCCAATAGAAATGAGCCCTGATCCGGCGAAGAGTCCGCTCCACCCCCGAATGTCCCCCACTGGCGAGTCGTGAAACTCCATCAGCATGGTAGTGACCAGGTTAGATCCCGACGGATGGACCACCCGGCCCTTGAAAACACCAACCCCTGTTTGAACTGGTAGCGACCTGGATCCTCACTCACTGCAATATCTCGGCAGCCCTGTAAATACGGAATCGTCTCCAAAGCCGCACGAAGCTCATCCCATAACTCAGGGACTGGCCCTGTCACTGCCGTGAGAACCTCCCCACCTGGCCGTTTGGACAGGCCGTCCGCCACCACATTGGTAGGTCCCGGCCGGTAGTGGATCTTGTAGTCATACCCTAGTAATTTCGAAATCCACTTGTGTTGATCTGGGGTCGACACTCTCTGTTCCAGGAGATGCTTCAAACTCTGATGATCGGTATAAATGTTAAACTTTTGGCCCAGCAGATATGGCCTCCAAGTCTATACTGCTGTGATAATGGCATTAATCTCCTTCTGATACGTCGACCATGCCTCCTTTGAGGACGACAGAGTCTTGTTCATGAAAGCGATGGGATGTCGATCCTGGGACAGAACTGCCCCGATCCCGCGTCACGAAGCATCCGCCTCACTCACGAATGTCTTCGAGAAATTTGGCATAGCCAAGGTGGGGGTCGTGAACATTGCTTGCTTTAGCTTTTGGAAGGCCTCCTCCGCCTGCGGTGACCACTTAAATCCCCCTTTCTTCAACAGGTCCGTCACGGGTCTCGCTATCATATTGTACCCATGAACAAACTTCCCGTAGTATCCCGTCAACCCGAGGAAACTGCGTATCTCGGTCACATTGGTGGGTATGGGCCACTTGGAGGCTGACATAATACTGATGTTTCCGCAGAATCTCGAACACCTCCTGCAAATGTCTCAAATGATCCTCCCAAGTCGGACTATACACCAGTATATCATCAAAAAATATCAAGACATACCGTCTCAAGAATGGCCAAAAATGTCATTCATGGCTGCCTGGAAGGTAGAGGGGGCATTGTACAACCCGATTTCTCTGTTAAACTCATTGATAATTCGCCTGGCAGGAAGTTGTCCATGAGAGAGTTACGAAAAATTCGCCTGTCGGAACCGGGCTTTGATACCAGATGTTAGAAACAAAGAAGTTCCACAAGGGAATTAGGGATTGAGAAGAGTAGAAATTAGGAATTTGAGAGGGATTGGGGAAGAACAAGAGATAGAGAGAGTTGGGAATTTAGGGATTTAGGTTGAAATATTGATTATTCACTAATCTGGAAAAAATAATGTTCTCTCCTCTTAAATACTAAACTGGAATAATTAAAATAACAAAATTGCCACCCCTCACCCAACCGACCCAACCCGTCGGTTTCTAACAGAAGTTTCAGAGGTTACTAACGCCGAGTGAGTTCACGGTTACCAAGACCGTGAACTTTGAGTGCAAACCGTGAACTCAAGTGAGTGAAGCGGTGCGTTTTGACACAACACTCCGAGTTCACGGACGCGTTGACGAGTTCACAGCCGTGAACTGAGCCCGATCCCAGTATATAACGTGAGCTGAGAGGAAGAGAGAGGGGAGCCCAATTGTGAGAAAGCATCTTCTTATTCATATTTTAGAGAGAGAAAGGACGAAGCGAAGAAGAAAGGAGGCTAGGGTTTGCTCCATGTGGTGAATTGGGAAGAATCTCCCTAAGAGAAGATCAACACAAGATCAAAGGAGAGTGGAGGCATCACCAGGGGCGGAGGGAGAGGGCAAATGGGTGGGTCCCGGGACCCACCCTAGCTCGGAAAAAAAGGACTAAATTAGGTATAACAATTAATTGATTCGGAAAATTAGAGTATGTTTAATTGATAATCGTTGATCGAAAGGTTTTGTGTTCTAGTTTTGACGACCTCATTCATTAAGCACATATAGTATTCGAATTTGTGCAAACTTAAATTCCACATAATTTGATTTTCTTATAACGGGGTATGTTGGTAAATGGTATAAAATATATTATTGAACTTCAACCAACAACTCTAGTTATTGATACTATGGTTATTGACAAAGAACACAATTCGAAAGCGAACAAATAACTAAATCATGAATAATTATTTGTATAAGATTCATTATTAAACCTATAGTAAATAATTATTGGCAAATAACATCATTCGAAAGCGACCGAATAACTAAATTATGAATAAATGTTTGGTATATAGAGAGAGTGATATTCTTAATAGTTTTGACTATTAATGTATTTTATTTTATAAAAAAATTTAAATATAAAATTATATTATGAATAATTAAAAAAATTAACAAAAGTTATTTCATCATATATATTTTTTCAAAGTGGACCCACCCTGATCGAAATCCTGGCTACGCCCCTGGGCATCACCATCATGGTTTTTACTTCTTTCTTTTGTGTTCTTCTCATTTCGAATATGGAGTAGTTACCTTTTTCACTTGGGTGTTGTGAAACCCTAACTATTTGTTATGTAGTTGTTGAGTGAATTGAATGATTGCTTATGGTTGTTGTTTAATTTAATGATTGAGGTATTTTTCATGAAGATTGTGCATGTTTGTGCTTGGCAATCTAATTGGCCATTCAACCAAGGTAGAGGGAAAACCCTCCTTTTCAAAGAGGCTCAATTGAGTTGGGATTCCTTGAGCTTTTCAAGCCATCTACCTAGGTTAATGTAGGCAAACCTCTATCTTGATTTAAACGACTAGGTTAATCGTGATTAAACAGTCCAACCATCGGTTTGAGGGAGAAGGTAAGTCAACCCTCAATTGCCTTAACCAAGAGTAGCACTCTTGTAGCCTATAATGTATCCCTTGGTTTGGCAATTGAGAGTGTGGTCTTCGGCCATAGTTGCACTTTCTAGCGGTTCACGATTGCCTTGTCCATAACGACCCATTCGAGTCCACGAGCTATGGTAGTAGTTAGGGGGAAGCGACACTCAAGTGATCCTTCTCATCTAGAGCTTTCAAACCATTTACCTGTGCTTTGTTTTAATTTAATCCTTATAGTTTTCAACCAAAAACCAATCCGCTAGATAATGTTTCAAACAATTGAGGTAGGGTGCATGGACCAGCCCGAGTTGATATTTAAACATACTTGCCCTATATTGCACCCAGCTAAGGTTTATACTTAGGTCTTAGGTGAGATTTTGTTGTGATATTTGGGACGAGTCAGCCGTGAACTTGTTCATGCTCTTATTGCCTATAAATAAGAGACCCCTTTCACCATTTTAGGAGAGCTAATTTTGAGAGGAGAATTTCTGGTTTTGGAGAGAGAAAATCCGAAGGAATGAGAAGATGAATATAAGAATTTCTGGGGATTCTGACCACTTGCCATTTCGGGAAGTTCTGCTCCAAAAAGTACCTTGGATAGTGCACCCGAAAATGGTGGAATCCTTGTTTGGCAATTTGGAGCAGCGGCAGCGGGGAACTATCCGAGGAGCCAATTCTACGGGGAGTTGTTGATTTTGGACAAGGTCATTTGGTTGCTTCATCTGCTCCCTTGATCCGGGCTTGAATCAGTTTGAGGCCAGCAGGGCAGCTCAGTTTAATGCTCATTGCTCAGTATATGGGAAATGTGATCAGATTTTTCGGTGTAAGGGTGCCAGCTGGTCAGGTTGTTGGATTTCTAGTTTGCCCAGGGATTAAGCTTGGGAACGGGACTATTGTCAAGGCCAGGGTTTATCTGGTACCCAGAACATAATAAGCTTGGGTCGAGTGCCATATCTGCAAGTTATGAGGCGCTAATTGTTTGAATTTGATGTTGCTGATTGCAGCGTGGAAGGATATGATCAAGACTACAATTGCCACGTCGTTTCTTGGGTATCCATATCCAAATAGGACCTGGGTCTGGTTTGTTTTACATGCAAGATTCTGAATGGAACAATCGGATTGAATTTGGTAGAAATGAGAGCACAATACCTAAATGATACAGAGGTAAACAAATATACTACAACATCTACTCTGCAGCGACAGCGGTGTCATCTCTCGCCTGTAGGATGTGTTATTTCGCTCCCATCAAAATGAGCTGATATCAATAATTTGAAACTTTAATCTACTGGCAAAGAAGTAGTAACGACTTCTTCCATAATTGCCAAAGACTTACCACCTTGTCGTGCTCAATCGTAATATACTTCCCTGGTGAATATTTTCTTCACCTGAATCCACATGAAAAGCAAATGGCAGCAAAGCAGTTCAGGGGTTGAAATATAGAAGATTGTGTGGTTGGTTCATTGCCCTTGTAATCCAACTTACTTGCTCCAGCGTCAAGAACATTATAACATTCCAAGATCCTAGCCGGCCAAAATTGGGAAAGAACCCTTTGTACAAGGCAAAAATCCCCTGCAACAAAATAAATAATACTCCAGTGAGTCATTCAACTGCAACAAAAGGACTACGTCCATATCATAACATTTGAAAGCAAAAATCACTTGGGGATATTTAATATGGAACAATCACCTCATTCTGAATGGTCTTGATGAAACAATCTACAGTACTATTGTACGAAGAGTCTCCCATCATTCTCGATTTCACCTGACACAATTATAGGCGTTACAACATACTTAACAGATCTGAAAGCAACCAAAATTTCAGCTTCACTGTTTGTTTGTTTGTTTCAATAAACAACTTCAAGAGATCAGTATTGCCAATTGATATTTTCTCCAATGGGCATTCCTCCCTAGTTCCTAGACAAGTTTATAGTTTGAGCAGCAGTGCTGGACCATTCCAATACGTGTTCTGCTGCCACAGTAAGCTCTCAGGCATTGATCGTAATGTTAATCATGATAAAGGCACATATGGAGACACCAAAATTATAAAGCCTAAGTGAACTTCTGAGGACCGCATGTTCCACGATGAGACTAAGAAGTGATCCTTCACCTTTAAGTATCAGAACTAAAATGTTACTGTGAAAATAAAAGTTACTTCTACTTCTCCTTTAGGGGTATTATTCAACCAAAATGGAGTCTAGTGGTTGGTTGGCCTATGTTAGACGTTTTTTTATAAAGGCGAATGTATTTTATTGATAAAGGAGAAAAATAAAGAACAAATCGCAGAGAGGAGAAAGGATGGTTCAAAAGACCCTAGCCGAACCAACAAAAAACGGGAGAAAGCAAGCAAAAAACAACAAAGAAAAAGAAAAAAGAGCTTAGAATTTAAGAAACTCATAGTTAGATAGATATGCCTAGAGCCAAAACAAGGCGAATGATACATACCACATCAATGGGTGAACCTATGCTCACAGCAAAGAAACCAGCACCTAGGCCAGCAAGAATATGAGTAAGAACACCGTCCCTGATCCCTGGAATTCGCAAAATTGTCTGCATGAGTATAAAAGAGATCAAGGAATCATTGTTCTAATACGGTATGCGTCCATGTCCATAACCATAAATTCAAACAAGCAGTCCAGGTTATGAAGGTAGAGTCATGAATCACTGACCTGCTTCACTTCATCATAACTGGCAAGTTCAGCAGCATTTATGATGGCATTTCTTGCTATGTTCGGCCCCAGTCCAGTCCAGTCCAAAGGGCAGTTAGTCCCTCCTGTATATAAAAAACCATCTGTGGTAAACTAATACTCTCCTGATCCAAATAATCGATGACAAAAGAAAATCGCTGTAAAGAAGCTGACCTGCTTCACTATAGTACGATAAGCATCCAATGCTCCATCATACCTCTTAGGTACACCAGGTGGTAGTTTCCCTTCAGCTTGAAGCCTGACTTTCACGAGATCTGTGGGATTGGCTACAATAATAGCTACTGCCCCTGTTATCAAAGCTGCAAGTATTTTCTGGTATAGGGGGATAACTCCACTAGTGCCAGTCAGAAAAAATTTCACCTGAATTCCTCACATATGCGCAAATGAACACGAAAAATCAATGTCTAGCCAACAACATTTAGTAGCACAGCAGCAAGTATCCATATTGAATGAAAATTTGGGTCTTCAGGGACATACGGGTCCATATAATCCGATCCTTAAGCCTCCATAGATAAACTGCCGATGCAGTCCGGCAGTAACCCCTTTCCAGAGTGCTGATAAACCTTCTTCCTGTGCAATCGTAACCATGGTGCCCAACAGACCTGTGTATTTAGGTACACCACTTGTTCCTCCATCCCCAGCAGGAGCAGTCTGACGCTGCAGCTGGAGCCTCACTTTAGCAGTATCTAATGGAATTGTACAGCACTGAAACAAACAAATAAACGACTGTAGAGATCAAAAGCTGCGACGGTTGTATCTATTCGACGTCAGAATAGTCGGATTGGTAAAATTCACAATTGACAAAAGCTCGACGATAAAGCTCCCAAATTGGCGACCTATTAAGCAGAGCCGCAAAGGAGTGGAATCAAGCAATGACAAAACACAGCAAGTCGCATTACCTCGGCAAAACAAGCAGCAAACGCGCTGCACAAGAAAATCTCGACGAAGAAAATGTCCGATTTGGGGTGGAGATCTGCCATTGCTGCAGCTACTGGTGAGGAGAAAGAGAAAGTGAGAAGGAAAGGAGAGAACCCTAAAACATGGAAGACAAAGGGAAAGGAAAATGGTGGGTAGGGTTTGAGTGAGATTGAAAGGGAATAAAATGGGTCGGCGTCAAAATGCGGAACAAATGAGTGATTCCGGAGGAAAGTGAAATCGCCGCCGACGGCCTTTCGAATGCGGCCACCGTTGCCAATGCGCTTCCCTTCCTACCGTCCGTCGTTGGTCAGTCACACTCGCAGGCCTGCTTCCTCCCAATCTAGTTATGGTCATAAGACCATTTACATTCATGAAATAGAATTTTCATTTCATATGCGGTCCCTACTGTCACATCAACCATTTTTATCATTCCACTATATATCAATTTCATTTTCTCTACATCCATGAAATTAACTTTCTATTTCATTTTGTGGGTCCAACTATTTTTTTATTACAACTAAACACTTCTTCTATATGAATGAAACTATAAAAGAAAATGAAAATGAAAAAAAAGGCAAAAAGTGAGATTTGGGCCCACGTTCTACTCACTTGCAATTTCATGGAGAATTTCATTTAGTGAAAGGACTTGCTACATCCATGAAATAGCAATTGACAGCAGCCACGTCATAATGAGATTGTCAAATGGAAGCCGTTGTGGATGCTCTAACAACTAACAAGGGATTTTGTTAGGAGATACTGATGTGGCTGGATGGGTCTCCACGTCGCCAAGCCGCCATCCATCGGTGGAGGAGAAAATGCGCCAGAATGTGAGGGAGGAGAGCCGATTCTATCTGTTGGGCCAAGCCCACGACGGCTTGTGGGACCCGTTGGGCCCACAAATTCAAAAACCCACAAAATTACACTAAACTCTACCCCTTTTCAGTTCTCCGCCACATTATTCCCCCCCCCCCCCTCTCTCCCTTTCTCTCTCCCTTTCCTCTCCTTTTCCCTTTCCTCCTCTCCCGAACGCAGAAGAAGCGGCCGCGCGGTGCGGCGAACTTGCCGACGGCGATCTCGGCGACAAAGATCTCGACGGCGGCGCTTTGCAGCGAACTCGGCGGCGGCGACGAAACAACGGCAACGAAGGGGTTGGTTGACGGCGGCCGTTGACGAAAGAACAACTTCATTGACCGAGGTAGTCGAGTTTTTTTTTTCTTTTGGTCATGGATACTCATGTTCGTTTTCATAGCTTCGACTAGATCTGGGTTTTCCTTTTCCTACGTTTTTTTTTGGATGAGTTTGATGGATTTGTTTTCTGGTAACTTAGACTTGACTAGATCTTGGTTGCTTTTTATTTTATTTTGTGGATATGTTTTCTGGGTTTGTGGATTTGATTGGATCTGAGTTTGGGTTGTTGGGTTTGTGGATTTGACTGGATCTGGGTTTCTTTGTTTTCTGGGTTTTGTGAATATGTTTTGTGTGCGTTTCGATATTAGCTATGTTCGGGCAGGATATCAGTTTTCAATTGTCTGGATAGTTGTGTGGTTGAGATCTGAGATTCGAATTGTAGATCCAAAACATTAGTTCCTTTCATAGTGGATAACAATTAGCATGCTTGTGGATACGTTTTCTGGGTTTGTGGATTTGATTGGATATGGGTTTGAGTTCCTGAGGTTTGTGGATTTTGTGGATTTGACTGGATCTGGGTTCCATTGTTTTCTGGGTTTTGTGGATATGTTTTATGTGTGTTCCGATATTAGTTCTGTTCGGCCAGGATATCAGTTTTCAATTTTCTGGATAGTTGTGTGGTTGAGATCTAGGATTCGATTTGTAGATCCGAAACATTAGTTCCTTTCATAGTAGATAACAATTAGTATGCTTGGGATACTACTTATTTATGATGTGGATTGTTATGTAATTGATTGTTCAGATATTAGTTATGTGATGTCTGGATATTTATTTACTTCATCTTGATATTTCTCTGCCTTATATGGATGCTAGTTCACTTATATTAGTTCTGTGCAGTTGAGATATCTGTTATACTATGTCTGGATATTTATTCGTTGTATATGGATATTACTTCTATAATGTTACTTCTGTGATGTCAAGATATTGAAAATATTATGTCTGGATATTTGTACTCCATGTTTGGATATTTGTTCTCCGTGTTTGGATATTTGTTTGCTCTATTGTATGGATTATAGTTACCTTATATTAGTTCTGTGTGGCCAGGATATCAGTTGATTCATACGTGGATATTTATATATGCTCCAGGGATATTGGACAATGGTAAGAACAAAAACAAAAACGAAGAGATCGTAAGAGAAGGATCATCCCAACCTCGTCGTGGCATGATCGAAACGTGGGTGGCTCGGAGGAACATGATAAAAAAGATAATCGAGAATTTGCACAAGCAAGACAACATTTGAACTATTCCTTTTCCGTTTTTTATGTGGTTATACTTTCTTAGATTTTAGATTATGGGATTGCCAAGTTGGAATGACAATAAATACTAGTTGTATCGCGATTTATCGAAAAACGACTTTGTTTTATTATGAATTTGCTTAAACTAAATATCAACACAAACAAACATAGATAAACATCCACAAAAAACAAATGCAAACCACCCAGAATAATATCCGTTCACCATACAAAATCCAGAACACCCAGACTAATATCCCACCGCCTAATACCAATATCGAGTCAGCCCGTAATTAATATCCTCACCATACAGACTAATACCCACCACACACATATTAATATATGGATGTCTTAGACTAATATCCGACTACACAGCAAAAATATCCACACATCATGAACTAATATCCTCCAATCACATAATAATATCTTATCACCACACACTAAATTTGACCACCATACATTGTGTTCAAAATCATTTCTACAATATTTTCTTCTAAACCCGAAACCAAAACTCAAACCCTATACCTGAAACCCTAATTGTAGACACTAAACACAAAGCTTGAACCCTGAACCCTGAACTCTAAACCTCAACCCCAAAGTCAAATCCTAAATCCTAAACTCCAAAACCTAATTCTAAATCCTAAAGTCTAAACCCTAACACAGCCAAAAAATCCACACATCGCGAACTAATATTCTCCAATCACAAAATTGTTGGGATTGAACAAATTGTTGGTTCTGGATATTATTTCTTTTCATGATTGCATCGAACAAAAGTTTGTTTTCTGTATCGAATGATGAGATTCGAGTTTGTTAGTCGTGGATAACAGGTGCTTTATGTTTGGATATTACTCTGTGTTGTCTGGATAGTAGGTGCTTTATGTTTGGATATTGCTCTGTGCGGTCTGGATAACAGCCCTATGATGTATGGATATTAATTTGTGCTGTATGGATAACAGCTCCTTCATAATTGGATATTACTATGTGCTGTCTGGATAACAGAGGCTTCATGTTGGATATTACTCTGGCAGTTTGGATAATAATTTAATGTGCTTGCACGTGTTTTTTCAGCGACCAAAACAAAGAAGGAGTCATGATCAGTAAATATAGTGATTGGGAGTTTCTTCTTCATGCATCGACTAAATGCAACAAACAACCATTCACATCGATAATAGTTACCAAAAGTGCCCATTAGAATATCCAAACTTCCCAGACAAATATTCGAAAGCACGAACTAATATCAATTCAACCAAAAGCTAATATCCGAACCACGTAAACTAATATCCATTCATTGCAAACGACCACAAGACTAATAATTAAACCTTTAACCCTAAAAAAAATTCCTAACACTAACACCCAAATCACTTTACCAAAAACGCCCTATTAGAATATCCAAAAGTCCAAGAAAATTTCGAAAACATGAACTAATATCAATTCAAACCTAAGCTAGACCCTAAACCCTTAACATTAAACCGTAACACAAACCCTAAACCATAAAACTATTATTATTTAATGGGCCTTCGGCCCATGGGCCCTCGGCGGGCAGCCCTAAGTAAGGTTGCAAGCCTTACGTGTTAGGACTTCCTAGTGTGTTTAATTTGATGTAAGAAACAATATCCAATCCTTCACAAATTGAAAACCGAACCATAAACCCTAAAACTTAAACTCTAAATTGGTGTAATCAGTTTCGGGTGGTTGGGTTATTTTGGGGTTTGGTAAATATTAATTAAATGATGGATATTGGTTTGCGAAGGAAGAATACTAGTTCATTTCAACAATGATGCAAAGTAATATCAACACAACACATAATAATATCGACTGAAAATAAATAAATATCCACACAAACAAACATACATATATATCACATGGGGCCCAAAAATTTCGTTCTCTTTCCACTCCAACCCAAAATCCCGCCCAAACTGAAGCCGGGCCCACCTGCTCGGCTTCTGCGCCGCACGCTGGGCCGACTTCTACACGGAAGCCCATCTCCAGCTCATTTTAGTGAGCCACCACCCAGCCGCCACTCTCCTCCGTTGGATGAAGCCCAAGCAAACGTGGCCCAAAATCTGACCCTGTCAGTATCTCTTAACAAAATGGCCAGTTAGGAGACTAACTTTTTCGACTTCCTCCCCTCCCGTCCTTGAGTTGACGGGATTTCTGAAAAGCTTTCGATTGTGAATTCGAGAGTCAGCGAATGAGCCTCCGCTAGCTGTTTGTTAAAGTTCGGTGGGATCGAGTATTACTTTTATGGGTATAGTTAGTAGGGGTGGCTATGCGGTCTGGTCCGGTTAAATTGGACCAAATTGATCCGGTTCTAGTCAGGTCTTTTCGGGAATATAAGGACCAAAGATTGGATTAGATACACTCAGGTCTTGACCCGGTCCGGTCCCAATTTGATTTTGATTTTAGATTGAGCTTGTAGGGATTTGAGTGTTGGTGTCTCTTATCTGGTCTTTATCCCGGTTTTTTTTTACCTCAAATCAAATCTAAGTCTGAATATGAGATTGGATTGTTTGCTATCCGTTCCCAGTCCCGTCCCGGTCCGGGTTATACGGTCCGATTTCGGGTAAAACCAAACAATCCTGGACCAAATTGCCAGCCCTATTAGTTAGTGACTGCGTTTCTATTTTCTTAATTACAATTTTAATTAATTAAGAATTGGTTACGGGAAACGGTTGGGGGAGCATTGGTTATTCCCATCCCATCCCAGGGCAGTGCGATGCGTGAAGGTGCTTTCGTTGGCTAAACGCCTTAGCCAGTCAATTACTCAACTCTCGCAGAGGCTCATTCGATTTCCATGATCCGTTGCTGAGCTCGGAGATTTCGGGTGTTCGAAGATAGGGTTCTCTTCTCTTCTCGTGTATGTTTTTGATACCAACTTGTTCTTGTTTCAATTTGAGAGTGCGGAGCAAAGTGTTTGAGCGTTCGAGAATTGTCTTTGGTCTTGGTATTGTGAAAATAATTCACTATTTCTTAGAAAGTGAGTTCTGAGGATTCAATCCGTTCAGATTAGTTGCAATTAGTTGTCGATTTTTGTTACAATTCGGGAGTTGTCTATGGATTTCATGATAGTGGAACAAGGTTGTTAAACCCCTATCGAACCCCCGGTTGGATCCGGTCCAACCTAATTTGCGCTTTAAAATGGCTTATAGAAAGCTCCCCGGTCTGACCCTTAAAGAGGGAGAAGAAGAGAGGGGGATGAGAGGAAGATGAACGAAGGAAGTGAGATGGTGGGTGGGTCATGAAGGTTAGAAGATTTATTTTTTGGAAATAAGTTTTTAATAGAAATAAGTAAGATAAATTTCATTTCACCCATTAAATTTTTAATTACTATCTTATTTGTATGTATATTTAGAAAACGTCTAAAACGGCTCAAACCGGCCGGACCTCGATCAGACCATTAAACCTCAAACCCTTGCTTGACCGACTCAATGACTTAAACCGGTTTGACAACCTTGTAGTGGAAGGTCTCACTAGGGTTGCTAGTTTGTTGGGAACGCCATTAAGGATGGACCAGGCAACTTGGATGGGGGCTCAAATGGGTACTGCTAAATTATGCATTGATATGACTGTTGATTCCCCAAGTCCAACTGAGCTACGTATTAGGCCTGGAGGTGAAGCGAGTAAGACTATCTTTATGATTCGGTTAGATGCAAACAGTGTGCAGAATTTGGGCATCATATAGGATAAGGAATTGAGTGTCATGCTGAAGGGCATCCAGCCAATCAAATGGTTGTGGTTGGAGAGAATCCGTTGGTAAGCCAGTGTGTAGTTGACATTGAGAAAGTGGTAGAGAAGGGTTATGTTGAGGGTCAATCTATTTTTGAAGTCAACTCTAATAAATCTCTAGAATGAGGGTCTTCATCTCATCTTGGAGATTAGTCTAGTTATGTAGCTGTGGAGACTGTAGTTGTATCATCAAGAGGTTCATCATCTCCTCTTGGAGATTAGTCTAGTTTTGATAAATGATGATACACGCAGAGTTTGGGATGGAGAATTTAGGGTGAGCCATTTTGGGAATACAAATTTACCATTTTCTTTTCAAATTTTTCTTTCTCTGTTTCTGGGTAAGTTTCTGTTGACTTCATCTTCATCATTTACAAAATTATACACAAATCCCACCATATCCACTCATATGTAATCAATTTCTTTAAGGGTTTTTTTCTTCATACAAGTGGGATTTCCCAATACCCACAAACAAAATCGAAACTGAAAAAAGAGGGAGAATAAAATGCCTTTGGCTCGCCGGTAAGAAGAAGAAGCTGCCTTTGTCTCACTGCAGAGAGAGATGGTGAAGAAGATGCCTTCGCACCACTCAAAAATTTTTATTTTTGAAAGTTGATGTCTTCTTCTCCTTCTCCTAGATCCCAAAATGCAACAAATTAAATGGACATGCAATGAAATTGATTTCTTCTTTCTACAAGAAAGAGAAGCTTGGTCGCGGGAGAACAACAAACCCAGGACCTCTCTTCCTCGTCACAAGAGTGAAGAAGACTGATTGTCGGGGGCTAGCCCAGATTCTTGAAAGGTGAGTCTCGACAAGAAAGAACAGATCATCATACCCAAAAAAAAAAAAATAATAGATCTGCAGATTATCCGCTATAGAGAAGAAAGAGGAGATGAGGGAAAAGTATAGTCGACAGGGAAAGAAGAAGAGAGAGGATGAAAAAATAAAAAGTTGCAATTGGAAGTGGCCCACCAAAAATGCGTCAATGTAGATTTCCTACCCCAACTCCACGTAATTCTAATTGACCACTAACGCACCAATTGTAATTTGACACGCTACGACACAACACCTAACAATGGCCAAGTGTAACC